GGAAGCAAAGGATTGTGGGAGCTAAAATAACATACAAAGACACACTGACAACAGTTTCTCCTTGTTCCCCTAGAGGTGATTTTCTTGGACGATTTTTTTTTCTTGAACAGGCACATAGAATCCTGCAGAGAACTGTCCTACTCCCAAAGCTGGTGTGTCCTTGAAGTAAAGTTGATGTAACAAAAACCTGAATTTGCACTGTGTATACATCTCGGAAGACTCTTCATGTTAAAGAGGATAGGCTACAACATGATTTCAAGTACCATGTTCCTCTGGTACACTTAACATATAATCTAACTGTCAAAATCATAAGTATGCTACCTCTTCACAACACAGCTATGGTATAAAGTACAGCAGACTTACTCAAGAGAACAGTTAAGATATAGAACACTAAACCAGGAGAAGTTTCTTTTGTCTACTCCCTGCCATTGAGAGGATGAAACCAATCTGTTTTTACAAAGTATTTTTCTTAAAAACTGATGCACACGTGCCTTTCAGGAGGCACAGCAAAATGAGCCTCAGGCTGGTGGTCTCCTGACTGACAGTGTGACGCCAGATAAGCCACCAAATCTTATTTTCCTTGTTCAGGTATGGAATCATAATAGCTCCTATCAAGACAGCTGAGAGCAGATCAAGAGAAAGATTGCGAAAAGTCCACTAAAAACATATAATTGACTGATGACTCATTTGTGTTTATTGCCCAAGATCTCCCCCAACTCCTTGTCCCTGGGGGTGCTGGGCCACGCATTCCAAGGAGAGCTTGGCCTACCTCCCACAGAAGCACTTCCTGACACAGAAACCTGGGCAAACGCAGGAATTATTTTAACACTGAAACTGAGTACCAACAATGTATTGGGCACTCTTCTAGGCACACGAAAGGCTGAAGAAGACTTCTCTCAGTCTTGAGGAACTCAGTCTGGTAAATAACAGACACAGAATGAAGTGAGCACTCTACAAGGTATGCTAACACAGTGCAAAGAAAGTTCAAAAGAAGGACATCTAAGCCCAGCCAGGTAGGTGGGGACCGCTCTAGGAATAAGCAAGACAAATGAGGCAAGTATTAAATGGCCTCAGATACTAAGCTAAGGAGACTGAATTTTAGCCTGGAGGCTTCGCTATTTGTTTCCATCCAGGTTGTTATCTATCTGCTTTCTTTGAGATTATGGGATGGAAAACTATAGTCACCACTTGTTTTTGTAAATAAAGTTTTATTGGAACCCAGCCATGCTCATTGGTTAACTGATGATTTATGACTGCTTATGTGTTATAACAGCTGAGTCAAGTAGTGACGAAGACCATATGGCTTGAGAAACATAAAATATTCACTATCCAGCTCTTTACAGAAAAAGTTTGCCTCTAGGTCCAGGCCAGAGAGGACAGTGTGCTCCGAAATTCTCTCAGATGTAAGATGTCTAATATCTAGTAAATTAAAAGAAGGAAAGAAAATGGCTTCAGGGAGACCCTTCTAATTGTACTGCGGTGGCACAACTGCATTATCTTAACCTCTGGCATCGGAATTCTTCTAGGGTGGAGAAATGTGTTTGGGGAAAATCTTGTTTTGTAAGATCCCCAGGGTGACAAGACATACAGTAGAAAAGGTAGAAGGAATTTGTGACTCTGGTTCTTGAAAGGCAGAGAGCTCATCTAGAGAGAAGACTCAACTAGTATGTGTGAGAGGGCTAAGAAGGAAAGTTCTGTTGGTATTATGGCCCCAAATAACTTTGGAGCCCGCGATGTCTATTAAGTGACTTTTACAAAGCTGTTTGCTGTGCAGTCTGTGATTTCCCCCAAAAAGCCACCCCCTCAACCCTAAGTTTTAGACAAATCTATTCTGCTCCCAGTTGACTGGGTGAATGATTTTTTAAGTTATTATATTTAATTAATTAATTTTTGTGAACTCAAAGAGGCTGAGTTTCACACGAGCCAGCTGCACGCCTGCATGTGGAAATGGAAGCCCACGAAACAAGAAGATTGGTGGTATCTAGAGAGTCCCAGAAACCTGAAGGAGGCCTGGGGGTTTTCTACGGGCTATGGAACTCGGGTGGGGAGAGGTCCCGAGGATCTCGGATCTCTATCAGTTAAAGGAAGTGGCTTTTACATGAGTTCTGCAACCACTTCTCGATAGGCCAGCTCCTGGGCCTCCCAGCAAGGCCTGACTTCCTCTTCTTCTTGCCCCTGGCTGTGTGAGGCCGGGAAGGGCCGGGAGTGGCTGCACTTTCCCTCCAGCCCAGCTGCCAGCCGGGTGGGGGGGGCCTCATCAAGCTCTTTACCAGAGACCAACTGCACATCAGCACTCCCCTGAAAGGGAACGTCACTCTGAGGATAATTTATTTGCCTCATAAATGTGGGTTTATAGGTTTTGCTATCTAAACTTGTCACCACTGAGACTACCTTGGTAAAGGGAAAGACAGGGAGGCTTAAGGCTCTCCCATGGTCATCAGCTGGTGCCTGGGGGGAGGCTCCCAAGCAAAAAGGCCAACACCAAGCCGTCCTTTGTGTCAGAGACTTCTATCAGGCCATTTCACACTGATGATAGCATCTAGCCTGGTGCAGGGGGCAGGAGAGAAACCTATTATCACATTGGGTAGGAATAACCACAATGTACATGCATCTTCAAGGGGCGGATGGGGGGCCGTGGCGATGGGCTGACTGAGTTGGGGTGGGGGAGGGCAGGCAGACGTGGTTCTGGATGGAGCAGCTGCCATAGGCGTGGTCAAAGGAGGTGGGAGCCTTGGGCCAGTGTTCCTTTTCTTTCAGCACACTGTGATTTGTTAAAGGTTCCTAGGTAAGTGGATCAGGGACTATGTTGTTGAATTTTTAACTAAACTACCCTCCCGCTCCTGCCAAAATGAATAAGTGGTTTAAAAACACCCCTGCAAAGATAACCATGGATTGATGATAATATTAACAATGTAAGTATAAGCAAACATCAAGAAAATGGCAGAGCTTACATGTCTCAGTACCCACGTGTAAGCTCTTTATCACCCACATCATAAAGTAAAATCAATGACGAATTAATCAGATAAGATAAAGCCATCCTCCAAATTTGAAATTATCAAAAAGTCTATTTAAAATATGACTTGTATCCATTATTGTGAATAATGAACCCTATTTAGCCTCTGTACGTATTGTGCTGTGAAATATTTATGACAGTGATATGTGTGTGTGTACTCATATGGGTGCACACACAAGCAGACTTTCAAAGGCAGTGATAATGCTGTGTCTCTTGAAACGCAGTGTGTGGGGGTGTGTGGACTATCCTTTGGTAGTTACTCAGTATCTAATCACGATCTGTTATACATTGTTAAACATATAAATATACCAGGGGTGCGTTCTCTGGTATAAGATTTTTTTTTTTTTTTTTGCCAACAGTGGTCCATCAAAACAGTTTGGAGACACTGGTTAGAGAATCTGCAGGAAAAACTTATCACAAATTCATAGTGAAAACGATTTGGGTTCTCTTTTCTGTGTGGATAACGTAAGGAACATCAGTTGTAGAAAATTACTTCTTGCCTTATGCATATAAGTCATGACAAATGACAATCCAGGAACTTTACGATTGGCATAAGGAAAGTATCTAACATTAAAGGATAGTAAAGCAGGGAATGTCCTTATATTCTATATAAGCTTAGAGTAAGCTAGAATCGCAGTGCCTGGGAAATACGCTTGGGCCTGCACAAAAGGCTTAGCACTACACATGTAGACAGCTAACTTAAGACCCTTAGCCCAGTCAGATACATATTTAAAATCTATTTTGTTCTCAGTTGGAAGGGCTGGAGAGGGAATAAAATTGCAACTCAGATTCCAATGCCAAATTTTTGAACTAATCAATAGATCAATTAAAGAGGTATTTGATGATAACTGGTTCTCAACCACCAAAGGATCCTTTTTGCTTGTTTTCCCTCCACAAACTCCAAATTTCAAAAGAGTTCTGCCTCCCAGAGATTTGTGTTAAGTAAATGCTAGAACCTAGAAAGGTCATAGTTTCAGCCCCATGGGCTTGGTGTATTTGCTATTTCCCTTTTCATTAAATTTCCCCCCTTCTTTTCCATTCTATTTTCCTAAATATATTTTACGTATCACTTTAACGAGCCACCTCAAGGCCATTTTGGAAATAGGTGGGATTAAGTAAATGCGATAAAAAGTGCTCATGAGCACGGCACCTGCCCTGGAGAGCGAAATGAAGGGCCCAGGCAGAGAGCAAGATGCACATTAACAACAAGGACAGACGGGAGAGGCCCCAAAGATTTCGAGTTCTAGTCTATCAAGAAGATGGGCACCATGTGGATTAAACAGAGAAGAGAAGGGAGGGAATTTCAAACAGAGACAAGGGGAAGCCAAGGAGCAGAAACAGGAGTAGCTGAGGTGTGTTCAAGGGAAGAAGAAATTGGACATTTCTTCTTCCGTATGACAGATACTGAGTTAGGCATCTGACTCATCTATTTCATTTAATCCCTAGGAAAAGCAATAGCCTAGGAGGTAGGAATCTCCACTTTACAGATGAAGACATGAAGGCTCAAAAAGGTCAAACGAATGGACCAAGAGGAATATATTTAATAAGTGATGGAGTCAGGGCTTAGACCTAGGACAGTACGACTCTCAAGACTGGGCTCTCCCCTGTTCCCTTTTGGACCTCTTGTGAGGGCCAATGTGGTGTACACTTGGCTGGGCAGAGGTGGCATATAAAGGAACAGTAGTGGGGAGACTGAAGAGGTGGTGGTTGAGTTAGGCTGTGAAGAGCACGGCTGCCCGTCTAAGGGCTCTAAAAATGTTGTATGCCATGGAGAATGGTGACATTTCAGTAATAACTTATTAGGAAGATGAATTCGACAGTGGCACACAAGATGGACTTGAGGAGAAAATTTTCAGGCAGGATGATCTGAGGCTAGAATGGCAGCAGCAGGAAGAGAGGACAGGATGGCCACGTCTCAGGGAGGACTGAAGGCTGGCCCGGTGCTGGAGGGGAACAAGGCAGAGATTTGAACATCGGTTTCTTCCAGGGACCAGGCAAGTAACACGAATGGATGGATCAGGCAGGTGCTTCCCATAACTGTGCTGATTCCAGAGAAAAGCAGATGAAGCAGTCTATCTCTGAGTTCTCAGACCTGCCTTTTGCGGAAGCTGTGCAGGAGGTGAATAGATACGTCTTGCTTTATTCTTCATCGCTGCTCACGGTGAGTTTCCCCGGCAGAGGGTAAGGCTGCCCAGGGGCCTGTGGCAGGCTTCAACGTGACCAGAGTCGGTTAAGGTCAAAGAAACAGTGATATCTTAGAAATTAGACAAACCCTCGGAGCCTCTTCTCCACCTCCGTTTCCACACCCCTCATCACCATGAATGCCTTTTTTTTCCCATCAGATTCTCCTTCTAAAATTGTCCTCGTGTCAGAAACGTGTCATAGTACCACTTCTCAGAATTCTCCTTGGAGGAAGGAACAATTTTTGCTTGAATTTTGCCTGGCATTTTAAAACACTCTGGAGGCCAAACCTTTTCGGTTTGTTCTATATTATCTGTCTCTTGGTTAGCAGATATACCTTTAGTCATCCTGCTTTCCTTTGCTATTATTGCTTCAGAGGTATTCCTTTGGCTTTTTTCAGGTTCCCAGAATAGGAGGTAGAAGACCAGCACTATAGTCCTGGAGACGTCAGCGGCAGTCGGTGCTCTACTAAGTATGACTCCTCTAAAATGTGAATGATGACCAATGACATCAATGTCCCTTTCAGCTCTAAGATTTTAAATCTAGAGAATTCCTTATTAGCAAGTACACAGCTATGAGACAGAGAGAGTGGTTCTCATTGCTTTACAGGAATGAGGCGATACAATGGCGGACCGTGAGGAATCGTGGAGAACAGCACCGTTCCTTTATCTTACAGAGGAGGAAATTGGGGTCCAGAAAGATTCACGGTCATTTGTAAAGCTCCCATGAACAGGGCTTCGGTTCAAAACAAGCCCCTGGCTTCTAGCGCACGTTTCTTTCTACTGCATGGTACCATTTAATCATCAGCTGGTGGAGAACTGACATCTATGAGAACAGAACCCAGGTCTGATGCTTAAAGAAGTGAAGGAAATGAAGGTTTTTATTTTTTATTAAAAAAAAATATATATATATATAAAATCACCTTACCCCTAGTGAACAATTGTTAACAATTTGTCTAATTGAATTTTTTAAAGATCTTCCCTTTGTTTTAAAGGAATAAAACATAAATAAAGGTGACATTCCTCTCCCTTCCTCTGTCGTTTTTGCCTTCCTGGAGGAGACTATCATGATTTTGTTATGTATCCCCTACATGTCTTTGTGCATTTAATACAGGAACAATAGGTGGTAATGTTTTATGTGTTCGTTTACATATATAACATTGTACAGAACATTATGCGACTTGCTTTTTCCATTCAATATTATGTTAACCACGTGAGCCCAGCTCCTTGATTGTAACTGCTAAGTAATGTTCCCCACTGTATCAGCATACTTAAATATACTACAGTGTGTTTATCAATCAATTGAATGATGGGAATTTACACGATTGCGTTTCTGGCCGATGGGGGAGACTCCAGAGTGCTTGCGTGTACCCACCTAGAGAGCAGGCAGCACGCAAGGTGGAGGTGGGGACAGAGGAGCATCAGTCAGTCCTTAACACCGTATAGATCAGAAGTGCTGTAAAAATGTCAGGTCACCTAGTTGGCCACCTTCAACGCCTCCTGAATTTGATACGCCAGTAGGTGGGACAGAAAAAACTCAGGTGGCCAGCCTAGATCAAGACTCCTACCGAGATAACTGAAAGGAAACCCCTCTCTTCTTGGGAAAGAACATCCACAGGAATAAAGAAAAAAAGCATAGTAGTGCTGAGGTCATTAAGTCCACTCTGACCAGAAAGAACTAAGATAAACACAAAAAATACTTCTTCTCTGAAGGGTAGTGTCAAGAAGTTACATCCCCGTGTCTGAGCCTCTGGGAATGGATCGGGAAGTTTCTACAGAAGTTTCAAAGGTATCTGAGGTGGTCCTGGGATGGTAGAGAAAGGCAAGCTCTGCTTCCATTGTTATTATCCTCTGTCTCCTTGAATTTGAGTAGATCGTCTGAAATGTCCAAGAAGCATCTAAGAGCCCATTAGCTAGTGTTTGAGTTGGGTGGGAAGGAGAAATTAGGAGAAGCCTCCTTGTGAGAGAGTTTGGTATTGTTCTCAGAGATCCTAGGATGGAAAGATTTCTTCTCTTACTCTGCACACAAGCTCAATTTTCTCATTACTTTTATGGCCAGAGCAATAGGGTCTTTGGTCTTTGATGGCATGGGGACCTTTATCCAACACTAAGTCTTTGTGTCTCTGATCTCTGGGTTATAGTATGGCTTGTGGTGAGGTCTCAGACAAATCATTATTGTTTTCTGACTCAGTTTCTCAATCACTTATGTGAATTTGTTAAAAATCTGCTCCAATTTACTGCATAAGGGTATACAAGTGAAAGTACTGGAAAACTTCACATCGCTACTATAGTTAATAACAACACTATTATCACAGGGTATCATTATTATTTAAAGAGATTTTAAAAAGCAACTAAACATGACCCTTGGTGAACTTTAAAGCAACAGAAATTATTTGACTTTTCCTTCAATGTAATGTAGACTGGAGCCCTTGGCTCTCATCCAAGCTACAATGCCCTTGTCTCGACCCCAGAGCCATCATGTCCATGTCCTCTGTACGCCAGGGGCAGATGGACATTCTCCAGATTAGATTTGTCCACGTGGCTTGTTCCCTGGGAGCAGAGTTCCTTCAAGGACCTTAACTAGGGCCAGATCCTAAGCAGTGGTGTTTTTTAGAGGGGGCCACCCACAGTTTAAATACTATGATCAGGCTGTGGGAAAAACAACCTATTCTTTTACCTGAGATCTCTCCCAGGTCTGCAAGAAGATCACCCAAAAGTAGATACCACGGTGTATTGGCAAATCACCATCATCTTGTTTTAAACTAGTCCCTTTGACTAGCTCTCATCTGGTGACATTCCTGAATTGAAGGTGTCCTCTTTAGCAGCTAAATCTTCCCAACATCTTCCTCTGTCCTCTCTATGGATCTCAAAACAAACACTTTACAACAACGGGCTGGGGGCAGAGGGTGGGGGGCTTAGGAGATCTGTAACTAGGAGAGCCACAAAGAGGAATGGTGTTGAGGCAAATCCAAGTCTTTCTGCTTAGGAGCTGGCGTCAGTTCAGATTTTCATTGTTTCTTACTTATGTGCCCCTGGGCAAGATACTAACCTCTTTAAAGTGGATATAATAATGCCTAACTTGGTAAAGCATTTAGTGTAGTGCCTGGCACATAGTAAATGCTCAGCAAATATTAGTGATAATGATGATGATGATGATGATAAAAAAGAAGAAAATGACAATGAGCTGACCAACTCATTTCTGCCTTCACAGCTTCACTCATGCTGCTTTCAGATTTGGAATGCCTCCCCTTCCTCTTTGACCTATCCAGGTCCTTCCCATGCTAAAGACTCTAAAGAAACCTTCAGTCAGCTCCAGGCACAGTATCTCATTTGGTAGTAATGTAGCTTATCTTATCCTAATTATTACTTTGATCTTGCCTCCCCAGGGACATTATAAGCTCCTTGAGGGCAGAATTTTTCTCTCTGTTTCTACCTGGGATAGGCCCATGTTAGCTACGAAATACTTGGTATCAAGCATAGTCAAGGAGGTTTCTATTTCCTGGTCACAGAATGGTACCGAGCACAGTACAAAGGGAATTTTATGGCTGAAGGCTGTATCATTTTGGCTGCTCAACACCCCTGGACTTTCTTACCACCTCATGCTACTAAAATGGTCCTATGTTGGCTAAAGGGGTGAAAGAGTCAGGGGTTCTAGAAACTGGCTTGAGATGTAAAACTCGCCACGTAATTCACTAAGCAAGTATTCCTGCTCTGAATATTGGAGTACTAATTATCTTCCCACATTCCCAACAGAGCCCCTGGGAAGAAGCAGAGGTATGTTCCTGAGGCACGTCAGTGCCGGCCCGAGGCTCTGGCCTACCATGGAACTGGGTTTATGGCAAGGGAGAGCTGGTCAAACATCAAGTGGCCACTGCCCTTCTGTAAGCTGCTGATGCTCAGTCTATGGGCCCCCATCTGCCCGGACATACTGCCTCTATAAGCTTCTGGAATTCTCTGGCCTGCAAGCATCTCTGCAAATGGGCTGGGAACCATAGCACAGCCCTACGAAGGAGGGGAAACTTCTGACCAGGTTCCTTCCAGAAGCTGCCTTTAGCTTTCTCTGGATAACGACACAGTCCTCCATCATCCTTCTACCTCCAAGGCCGGCTCGCAGGTCCTCTGGCCTTTCAGCCCACAAGCACCTTCAGGGCTGGGCCATGCTTGTCTTCTTAGTGTTGTGTCAAGCACAGTCAAGGAGGTTTCTACTTCCTGGGGCAGAAAACAAGCTCAATAAATGCTAGCTGACTGGTGGCTGTGAGAAAGAATCGCAGCAGGCCAGGGGCCTGGAAGGCCCTGAATACATCACAGCAAACACCTCTGCCTAAGGTCTTTGCTGGGGCCTCCCCCAGGGCTCCTTGCTAATCTCAGGGGCACCAGGGCCTGCCTCCATCTACAAGATGCTAGTCTCTGCTCTCTACTGGTGTTTCTTCATGCTCTCCAAAAGGCGGAGAATGGGTGGAAAGGCTCAGCCACAGGATATTGGACTGTTTACAGTTGGCCAGGCCAAGATTAGCGTGAGCACAACATATGCCAAGTTCATTGGAAGTTACATTTTCCCTTTGTTTACACATTAAAGGGGAGAAGACCAGAAGGAAAAAAAAAAAAAAAAGCAGGTGACCTTCTGTTAACCTCACCCGTCTGCAAGAGGCTGCTGCCCTCACCTCTGAATGAACTTGCAGATTATCTCAGACAAGATTCACCTTGCGCTGAACTTGTACGCCTGCTCTGAAGCCCCCAGTCACGTAGCTGTGATTAAACATTACAGAGTGGCCATAAATTTACAGAAGTATTATTGTGGCTTGCTTTCCTCTTTCTTCTTTGGGAGAGGAAGAGAGCAATGGGTTCAGGGTGGGGGGAGCTGAAAAAAGGGAAACTCAGAGTCAAACAAACAGTTCCTTTTCACAGTTCGGAACAAAAGAGAAAACATTACATAGGTGTCCGAGAAAGAAGGGGAAAGAAATTGGGCCACATGAGAGAAATGAAAGCTCTGGAAGACTTCAGAAGCCCCAAACTCAACAGAGGAGCCGAGATGCTCCTGGTGTCCCTTCCACGCAATTGGAAAGTTTGCAGGTGAAACACAAGCCTGCTCTGCCGAGCTCCTGGCCGGTCCTGAAGGGTATCCCTGAAGTTAGAATTCTGCCTGAGAGACAGAGATGGTCTCCCTTGGGTTTGCTATGCAGTAGGCGGCAAACTGACAGGGCAGCAGGCAGGGGAAAGGAAGCTGCAAGGAAACACAGTTCATTTTGTTCTTTTGAGCTGGGATGGGAGATTAGGACGCTCTAACATCTGGGACGTTTAACAGGAGACTGGACAAAGACTAGACCATATTCTAAAGGAAACACCCTGAAGCTGTACCCAGGAGACTGACCAGATGATCTAAGGACATTTATTTCTATGATTCACTGTTTTATGCTTAAAGTAGGGAAAAAAATGGATATTCCACTGAAGTCAAGTTTGCTAAACTCTCTAGGATTCCAAAGCCAAGAGACGCTTGCAAAAGGCCTGTGCTCACCATTAAACAATGAGACCTCTATAACCAGAAAAGGCCACGGAGTGCTCTACTGGATCCAAAAGAATTGTAAAAAGTGGTCAGGAAGCCCAGACTGAGGTGATAGGCTCTGGCCAGCACAGTCACCTTTGGAAAGGAGTCATTCTGTCTCTGGTTACCCTATGGCAGTGACAGGGGTGCTAAAGAAGCTCATTGTTTCTACAGTTGGCAAGGCCTCAATCCATAAAAGCAGCAAGGCCCAGGGTCCATCACACAAGGAAAGCAGCCGATGGATGGCTTAGCTCAGCTCCTCCTCTCAGCAAGATCTCTCGCTGCTTGTAAGGATCTGCCA